TCCCCTGCTGGACACTTCTACCACTTTTTCAAATTGCCACAACCACATGTCCTTGGCCAGCCTGTCTAAAAGCAACAGAAAATTCGCTGAAACCTGGTATTACATTTTGGCACTCGATAGCTTGAGAGATGGTGATTAGAAAGGAAAAAAAAAATTCATCAACAAAGTGGCATTTTCATTTCAGCTTTCCTGGGGGCAAAACAGAGCTGCAAAGAGAAATCCTAGATTGAAAGCTTTGTGGTTATCTCCGCTTCTCATTAAAGTGAGCCTGATTGTAATCACACCTACGATTACAAGATTTAACACACCTGGTCTCAAGGATGCACCAGAAAGAGGAATCAACCATTCATCCCATCCCATTTACTTTCTTTAGTCACTGAATAAGCACAATTTGTAAGTTTCAATGAGTACAGACTAAAGATGGTTTGAAGAACAGGGGAGAGGTTTTTCATTTTCACGGCTTTTTTGCCCCCCCCCCCAATTTGCTATAGGGCTCATGAACTGGCCAGAAAGAGACAGGAAGAGAGATAGAAGAAAGTTGAGAAGTCACTCCCTAGGGAGGATGGCCATGCTGCAATCCCTACTCTTTCATTCTCACCCTCGGATTTTGGTCATGCATACACATGTGCCCAGAGTGTTTTTCAAGTTGCCAGGTCCAGGACTTGAACCACAAAGTTAGCCATGTGGATCCAGTTGCCTTAACCTCTGCACCAACTGCTGGCTCTACACGTGGCTTTTTTCAAAGTGACAGAAATCTTCCATGGCTACAAATTATTTTAGTACTGCTAAGACAAGCAAGACAAGCAGGGTGGCTTTCACTGGCCACACACAGATGTGAGTGATCTGAATAGAGGTCCTATATATTTCTTCTCTCACTTTGCTAATCACACATTTTGTTCTGCTTTACGCATGCAGACACACACACACACACACACACACACACACACACACACACACACAGACTCTATCTCTCTTAGTCTTAGTAAGGGTGCATGCACTTGCCAGAGAGAGACAAAAAGGAGAGAGAAAGGGAGGAGAAAACACCCACCCTTTTATGGAGAATGGCCATACCACAATCCCGTCTCCTCCATCTCTCCCTCCTTTCAGGAATGGGCACACATGCACATATGCTCAGCATGTTTCTCAAACCACTGGGTCCAGGACTCAAATCATGCAGTTGGCCAGGTGGGATCTGGTTTTTTTAACCACTGGGCCACAGAGTCAGCCCTATAACTTATATTTGTAAATAATTTTTTATTTTGAAATAATTTTAGAGAAACATACGTTGCAAAGACAGTTTAGAGTTCTTGTTTCCCTAGTTAATAACTTACATAACAATGATATATTTGCCAAGAGTTTTGAAGTTCTTCATAATGAAAGAGAAACACTAATTTTTTTTTTTTTTGAGAGAGATTTTTGCTATAGGACTAGCCAGAGAGATACAGACAAAAAGCAAAAAATCACCGCCCAAGGGGACAGCCATGCTGCAATCCCTTCTTCTCCACCCTCCTCTTGGGTTCCTGGGTATGCACACACATACTCCTGGCATGAGTTTTAAGCCACTGGGTCCATGTCTCAAACCACAGTCAACTATGTGGGAGTCCGGCGACACAACTATTACACCATCTGCTGGTCCCAAACACCTGATATTTCTTTCTTTCTTTTTTAAAGAATTCTTTTATTTAACTTTACTTATTATTATTATTTTTTAAATTTTATTTATTTTATTTACTTAGTTTTTATTTTATTTATTCATTCATTCTATTTTTAATTTGACCAGAGAGAGACATAGAGAGAAAGAGACGGAAAGTGAGAAAGCAAGCCACTGGTTCCGGGACTCCAACCACAGTCAGCCATGTGGGAGTCCAGCATCTTTAACCACCATGCCACCTGCTGGTCCCAACTTTATTTATTTATTTTAAAATTTGACCAGAGAGGGATAGAGAGCATGAGCACAAGAGAGAGAGAGAAAGTGAGAAAGCAAGCCACTGGTTCCGGGACTCCAACCACAGTCAGCCATGTGGGAGTCCAGCATCTTTAACCACCATGCCACCTGCTGGCCCCACTGATATTTCTTAACTCGTCTTGCAGGAGATTCTTAACAAGAGCAGTAAGTATTGTATAGCACTTTATTCAATTATATGAATTACTGAGTCATGATCTGCATGTCCTCCATCCCACTTAAGGCCCTAGAAAATAATCTGGAATCTCCAAACTCTGCAGGTTAGTGCTCCCAATTACTGAGCTATTCTCCTGTGTAAGTTTTTATGTGTTAGTCCGATCATTCTTCCCCCTTCTCCTTTGTTTGAGTCATCCACCCAATATCCATTTCTTTTTTTGGAGAGGTTTTTGACTATAGGGCGTGTGCGCTCGCCAGACAGACAGAGACATAGAGACAGAAAGCGAGAAATCACCCCCCAGGGGGGATGATCACGCCGCAATCCCTTCTCCTCCATTCTCCTCTCGGGATCTTGGGCATGCATGTATACGTGCCCGGCATGAGTTTTAAGCCACCGGGTCTGGGACACAAACCACGGTCGACTATGTGGGAGTCCAGCGACATAGCCATTACGCTAACTGCTGGTTCCCCCAATATCCATTTCTTGATATCTGCCTTGCTAGCCCAAATTCAGTTTTGTTCAGAGTAGCAGTGTGACAACTAAATACACTGTCAGGCTCCCTTGCAGCTAGGAGTAGGACAGTTCAGGCCAATGAAACAAAGTGGAAGTCTGCTGTAAAATTCTGGAAAACTGTTCTAATTCCCTCAATAAAGGATACAAAAGCACCCCAGGTTGTCCTCCCATCTTCTTTCTTACTCATTTAAATCAGTTATAGTGGCCAGAGTTGCAGCAGCTATCTTATAGCCATGAGACAAAGGTCACAAGCATTACAGAAAAATTGGCACTGTTGACACTGAGTTGCAAAACATTAACACCACCTACCTACATATTTCTTATGATGTGAGAAAAACAAATCCCTACTTGTTTAGGCCATTGTATTTGAGTTTTTAATTTTTTTTTCCTTAAAGGATTATTTATTTAATTTCATTTATTATTATAATTTTAATTTCTTATAGGGCATGTGCATCCACCAGAGACAGACAGAGAGAGAGAGACATAGGAAATGTGAGAAAGCAAGCTGCCAAGTCTGAGACTTGAACCACAGTCTGCTATGTGAGTCCAGCGCCTTAATTACCACACCACTTGCTGGCCCCCTAACTAAGAGTTTTGGTCTTAAAGTTTTTTTCTTTTCATTGCCAGAGGGAAAGTGTACTTACCAGAAAGAGCGAGAGAAAGCACTCCCCAACAAAGCATGGTCACATCACAATCCTTTTTCCCCTATTTCTCCATCCCATTAGGGTTTAGGGGGACACAAGTACACATGCCTGGCATGTTTTACAACAAGCTGCCAGGACTTGAACTCAAACAGTGGTTGGCTGTGTAGGATCTGGTTCCCCATGCAAAGCTTTTAACCACTGTGCTTATAGGACTAGCCTAAGTATTGGGAGTTTTTATAACTTGTAGTTTAACCTGTACATACCAGATAAACTCATTCAATCTATATCTTAACCTACACAAGGCAGATGAAAAGGGAGAGAAATACACCTGAGGATAAAAGCTCAGGAAAGTGATTACTTGGAAATTCAATGACTTAGCTATTGAACTGAAGCAAAAGCCAGTAGATTATTTATAAAGAAAATATGGCTGTGTAGGAAAAGAAGGGGAAGACTAATAAGTCTATGCTTGTACAAAAATGGCATAAGGAATTTGATATGGTAAAATTCTAACATAAATAAAGTCTGTGTCTGAGACAAAACAATCACTCTTATAATGGCTTCACTGACACTTAAATATAAAAGTGGTTTCCCGCCCCTTAAAACAAAAAGGCCCCAGCCACAAACAAGCATTGTGGGTGCCAGCAACTGAATTATTAATGTAAATTCTGTATATGAATTCAACAAGGAATGAAATTCCATTAAAGTCAAGAAGAAAATTAATTTAATGGTCACTCACTCTTTTTTTTTTTTTTTTTTTTTTTTCAAGAGGTTTTTCCCCCCCAAGGTTTTTTCTTTTTAAAGAGGTTTTTCCCCCCCAGAGGGGATGGCCACACCGCAATCCCTTCTCCTCCATTCTCCTCTCAGGATCTTGGGCATGCACCCACACGCGCCCGACTTGAGTTTAAGCCACCGGGTCCGGGACTTGAACAGCGGTCGACTACGTGGGAGTCCAGTGACATAGCCATTACGATAACTGCTGGTCCCCTTAACACACATATGGATATTTATTTTTTTCTTCCATATTGGCCATACAATGGGGAGAAATCCAGTCAAACTCAGTTGAAGGAGGAAGAAAGTTTAATTTATACAGCAACTAAATCTCATGGATTAAACTCAGTTAGAAAGGAAGCATTTTATATAAGGCCCTTTAGAAATTCAGCATGGGCCAACAGGTGGTGTGGTGGTTGAGGTGCTAGACTCCCACTTGCAGTTAAGAGTCCTGAACCTGGTGGCTTGCTTTTTCATTTTCCCTCTCTCTCTCTCTGTCTCTCTGGTCAAACTGAAAAATAATAATGATAATAAATAAAATTAAATAAATCTTAAAAAAAAAAGAAATTCAGCATGAATAATTACATGAATCAGGAGGACAAGTCATTAAAGTTTAGGCTCCAGAGGACAGATTAATATGTTCTAGCTAGCTCACCCTGGAATCTGTCCCTATGATGCAAATGGAGGATCCAGGGCCTTCATCTATAAACTTGTGTTCTTGTGTTTCTGCAGCAGTTTAGTATGTAGTTTGCCCAATACGCTACAGAGGAAATAGAGATTGCTATTGGAGATACAAAACATAACATTTTCTTGCTACAAAATCCCTGATGACTGATTCGTCTGCATGAGTCTATCTAGGCAAAACATTGGAGGTCTGCCTTGGTAAAAGGAATACTGAAAAACAGTCAAGAAACAAAGAGGTAGAGAAGTTGCAAATATCAAGAGACTAATTTACCTCAGTAGCTTTCTGGCTAAGTCCCCGAAGCAGCAGCACAATCACGTGGATGGCAGCTCTGCGCACTTGAACTTCATGGTCTGTTTTAGCTACAGCAATCAGGCAAGCTGTTACCTAGAAGGGTGAAGGAAGAAGTCAATAAAAATCAGGATTGAGCAATTACCTATAGCCTTTCAGTTGTGTTCCACTGACTACACATTCATCAAGAGCAATCTGGATTAGAGAGGGGTGGATGATTCCCTCATCTGCAAAAAAAAAAAAAAAGGGTGAAATTGGGGCTGGCAGATGGCATGGTGATTAAGGGCACTGGACTTCCACATGGCTGACTAGGGGTCAAGTCCTAGACCTGGCAGCTTGCTTTCTCACTTTCTTTTTCTTTCTCACTCTCCCCCTCTCTGGTCAAATTTAAAATAAATAAATAAAATAAATAAAGTTCAATAAAATAATTCTTTCAAAATAAACCAAAAAGGGTGAAATCTAAAAAAAAAAACAATAAGGGTGAAATCTAGCAGTAAAAATCTTGATGCAGTTTGGCTTTTCTAGAAAAAAACAAACTGATTTAGAATTTGCAAGGGATACGAACCGTGGTCGACTACATGGGAGTCCAGCGACATAGCCATTACGCTATAGTCCCAGAATTTGCAAGGGAAGTTAGGGAGTGGGGAGAAATACAAGTATAAAATCTGTATTTTTACAAAGATTAGGCAAAATATGAATATTTCCTCAAAAGTAAGAGAATTGTTACTTGTCCCACTTTAAGAATATCAAATAGGGGGCCTGCAGGTGGCATGGTGTTTAAGAGTGCTGAACTCCCACATAACCACAGTTCAAGTCCTGGACCTGACGGCTTGGTTTCTCACTCTCTCTCTCTCTTTCTCTCTCTCTGTCTTTCACTCTGTCCCCCTCTGGTCAAATTTAAATAAATAAATAAATAAATAAATAAAGTTAAATTTAAAAAAAGAGAGAGAATATGAAATGGAAGGAAAAAAGTCTAAAAAACATAGCTCCTTCTAGGGACTGAGGACCACGGTGATTTAGCGAAAGTGGAATCCAAGTTCAAGGACTGGTATGAATATGAATATACCATCAATGAAAGGTTCAACCCAGGGATATAGAAATACATAAATATTTAAACTGATCTTTTTCAGCATGTCCAGACGTCCTAGCCTTACAAATCTAGCGTACATCCCACATGAGTCAGCAGGGGCCAATTTCAGAGACTCCTTGCCTGTAATAGGCCTTTGTAACAGAAAAGAAAGAGTGGAAATTATTTGCAAAATATGGTGCCAGATATATAGCTAATAATTACATGTCATAAAATGAAACAGTTTCTATATCCTGTACCAGCCACCCTGCCCCTGCTGCCTGGCTCCAGCTTGACCCCAAAATATTCTAAAATCTCAATAAAGAGAGATTAATAACAACAACAATAAATCTTTCTGAGTCACTCAAGCAAAATTTAAAAAGAGAAAACAAATTTTGAAAACGTGAGTGATAGCTGTAAAACTCTGAAGGCACGTCTAAATTATTCAGTTGGTTTCTCACATACTTTTGTTACTGAATTTACTGTGTACATGTATTTCTTGGCCAAGAGTGGAGGCATTTCTAACCATGATAAGAAAATAGTCAGATTGTGTGTTTGGAAACATGATAAACACATATTATGTTGAAAGAATCGGGAATACAGGCACAAATGAGGAAATAGGCTAGTGCAGAAATTTTAACTATGCAGGTTGTATTTTTCACAGCTTTAAAACAGTTGGGCATAGTTCAAAGTGTCTAATTAATCAGTAATGGCAGAGAGATTAGAAGAGAAGTAGCTTGTTTTTAAATATAATTGCATCTGTGACGCATTGGCATTTTATCAAATTGTACATCTATTAGACAAACTTGCAGCTGGCAAGTAAAGGGAAATCCCAGAAAAACTCAGTTCTTTCGGGGCTATTTTTCAATAAGAGTAGGTTACTTCTGCATTTGACCTGGAACCCCCTGACCCCAAGGCCAACAGTAGCTTTATGCCTCTGGCATTAACAGTAGAAGCAATTCAGTCCTAAGAGGAATTCCTTGGGTGACCTCCAAACAGGCAACGCTATAATAGCTACCTCCACTTTCAGGCTTAGTATTTACGAGGTGAGAGCTGAAATCAGAGAAACAAGTTAGAGCTAGGTCTACGTTCTTCATGACAGATGAAAATTTAGCTTATTTACTCTGATAACTTACGTATGAAAGTCAGGCCAGGGGCATGGAATGAGAGAAGTTCCTGAGCCTCCTGCCTGCCTCCCTGTAGGTTTAGCTTTGGGACCGTGCTTCCAAGTTTGGCAGACCAAGGCTTCCTGGCCTAGAACCCTGTTGGTGTCTACCTTTGCCATCTCTGTTCTGCCTCACTAGGTGGAACAGGTCATGCTTCAGCCTCAGCTCTCAGTATAAGGCTGGTTCTGACTGTTGGGCATTAATTCCACAATCAGAAATTAATAATAATCTATATTCAGACAGAAGCATTCTGCCTGGAAGAAGGCTTTCTCTAAAAGTCCAATTCTTTTTTTTTTTTTGGAGAGGTTTTTTGCAATAGGGCGCGTGCGCTCATCAGACAGACAGAGGAGACAGAGAGACAGAAAGCGAGAAATCACCCCCCAGGGGGGATGGCCACACCGCAATCCCTTCTCCTTCATTCTCCTCCTGGGATCTTGGGCACACACGCACATGCGCCTGGCGTGAGTTTAAGCCACCGGGTCTGGGACTCGAACCACGGTCGACTACATGGGAGTCCAGCGACATAGCCATTACGCTAACTGCTGGTCCCTAAAAGTCCAATTCTTGAATACCTGTATCTGAGAGAGAAGCTGGTTAGTACAAGTCTTGCTGAGATCAGCTGGAATGGCCTCCTGCTTGTCTTTAAGCTGTTAGTGATTTATGTGCCAGACTGTACCAAGCACATCTGCAATCAGCCATCCAGAACAATCAGAAAGACGTCCAAGAATAGAAGAATGTGAATCTTCAACACTTCTCTTTCTAGGAACAAATTCTATGGAATGTATAATGGTTGGTCATGTAAAATATTTTAGAGTAGGGCCAGTAGGTGGTGTGGTGGTTAAGGAACTGGACTTCCACATGGCTGACCACAGTTCAAGTGCTGGACCTGGTGGCTTGCTTTCTCACTTTCCCTCTCCCTCTCTCTGGTCAAAAATAATAAATACATATATACATACATTTAAGTAATTCTTTAATATTTTAGATAATCAGGACTTTACTATGGACTTGTAGACATTATCCAGAGAGCCTGTTCAGGTTGAGCTTCTAGAACTAGCTCATGAAGCTGCTCTCCTGCAGGCCCGTGGGACAGTCCCCTGGTCAAACAGTAGATGCATGGCCACTTTCTTCCATCTCTCTGATCTGAATAAGTCACTCCATGGCTATTCTCTCACCTCCAACCCAAGGACATGCTTCGTAAGGAACATTAGGTTCCACTCCTAAAAGCCTTGGTGAAGGATAGCTAGATGATGTAAGGTATTTACTAACTTATGAATTGGTGTAATTTTTCTATTCTCTTTTTCTAAGTCCTCCCAGGGGCAGAAATTCATTCTGTGTGATCTCTGTGTCACATGCTCTGGGGGTCAGTGTACCTATTCAAATAAACCATACTATACGGAAGGCTTTCTCTTAACTTGCTGCATCATGTAAATCATCTCCACTTCTGAAAACCATACTGAGAGAAAGATGATGATTGCTTTGGAAACATTAAAGGTCAGTTTTAGCAATTTAACACTTGACAGAAGCCAACAGAAACAAGGAAAAACATCACTCTCCAAACAGCTGGCACACACAAAGCATAATCAGAACTAAATAAATAAAGATAATACAAATGGCAAGATTACCAAAAACTGACTTTGGAAAATTCCAAGAGAGAAGGTACCAGAGTATCAGGGAAGCATGATTTCAATTTTCCAACTGCATTGTTATCCCTTTTCCTTTGTTAAATTTATTAATAGTTGGTCCAATAACTTGTCTGAAACTACACAATCTATAAACTAAGAAAGCTGGACAGCTAGGGCAGTATGACCAATAATTTCCATGAGCTTGGCTTATTTATTCAACCTGCCATGAAAGAAATCATGGTGGCTGCTTGAGCTTTCTCAGAATATCTACATAAGTCCTCCTCTCAGGGTTCTACAGTACCTCAATCTGAACAACCCTCTCACTTAGGAAACTGTCCCGACTGTGGCAGAACTGGTAATAAATTCAGATCATTCAGTGGGATCAGAAGAGTAGCTTTGTATCAAATATAGCTTTGAGTAAGGAATTCTGGACACCACATTAGGAGACTGCTCCAGGGCCTTGTCACCTGGGGAACATCTCATTTGCTGAATTGAGAGCAGCCTCTTTTTCACTGTGGTTCACTTAAATCATATTTACTTCTCATAGAGAGTGGTAAAAAATAAAAAGAGCATACCAAGATTTGATTTCAAGCAACAAGAAAAAGGATAAATTTTGGGAAAAAAAAATAGCAATGCTCTTGAAACAGGTTAAATCCTGATATTAACAGAGAGGAAAAACCTGAATTCCCAGTACAAAGACTGTAGAAGGGTGAGCATATACATTATTTTCCTTTCCTACCCACCAGCACTGTTCCAGCATAGACAGCACCCCAATTTGGACCACCGAACAGTTAGGACTCCCTTCTTCAGATGCCCAAGAGCTACAGCTAGAGGAAGACATTAATGCCCCATATCAAATCATATTAGAAGAGATTATGTGGGCTTTTGTGGTCAATTTTACATTAAAATAGATTGTGCTGCTCCTCTTCTTCTGCCTGGCTATTTGATCAATGTGACCCTGATGCCTTGACAAGTCTAACACAGGGTCCCAGCTTCATGCTCCTTTAGCACTGAGTGCTTGCTTTCTTACATTGCTTTATTTATTTATTTGTAACTTGCTATAATGCATATGTACTTGCTAGAGAGAAAGAGAGACGAGAGAAATTGAGAAATCACCACCAGGGGGGATGGCCATGTTGCAATCCCTTCTCTACTATCCTCGTAGGATTCTGGGGATGTGCATACAGGCACCCAGCTATTTTTCAAGTCGCTGGGTCCAGGACTCATATCACACAATCAGCC